AGGCCTAGTGCTCTATTTTTAGACCAGGGCTTTTAGGCTTTTTTATTACTAGTGTTCTATTCTTTTTACCTTTTAACATATGATGCACTCAATTAATGTTGTAATTATCACATTACGCATTTGTGCGTAGGGTAGAATCAAATGTTAATCATATCTGACTCTGTTTCCTGAACTCATAATAGGCCAAGTAAGGGTGTTGATTTTGCATTCTTGTATGCACAAAAGCATTTTTTTCACAAGTTTTGCCACATAATTAGCAAGGCAATTTAAACAAGTTGTATTTTGGTCCCAACGTCCTGGTTAATGACTCTGGAATCGGCTATATTAAGTGATTAAGCAATCAGTGGAAAACAATCTCAAAATAAAAATGTCCACCATCCATAACTTGAGTGTGCTCTTAGCTGCATGAGGCTTGAAGATTTGTGACTTTAAGCACCTAAACAGCAGCATTTCATGTGTAAATGACATGGTAATTGTAAATAAGGATGCATTTGATAGCTTATGCATCCCATAATTATCCTTCTGGTGACTTGGACGTGCCAGCAAGGCTGTCCTTCACATAACTGATGCTAACATTATCTTAAGATTGATATTTTAACTCGAGCCTCCAATGACTAATGGAAGTTAAACGCTCCTGTGGTTGTTGTTAGGCTGCTGTTTTTCAAGGGCTCTCAGGGGTTCTTGGCTTGTTGTTGAGTGCGATATTATGGAACAAATAGCAGGGCTTAATGGTGATGTAGATGATTTAACTGCCCTCGGGGCAATGAAAAAAGGAAAATGATTTTGTACGCCTCAACGTTGTACAAGGTGTTATTCTGTAGGTGTTTCGAGGCTTGTATTACCTTTGTGCTTCCTGTGAACATACTCTGATGTAAAATCAGGCAACGTTTCACATTGTCTCAATGTAAAAATACCTTTTAGACTAAATCTCTTTATAGAGCATCTCCTTTTAAGTACTGGTTAATCTATATAATTGCCAGTCACATGTGCTTTCTGGATTTATGAATGTTGTTTGAGTGCTGTGCCTCAGCTTCCTCCAGGCCCAGCTCCGACTGCGTTGTCTGCTCTGTTCTGTCAGAGATGCTGTGGCTTTAATCCTTTGCCCACAGGGGACGGCTGACATGGATGAGAGTAAACTGTTGACATGGTGCTGTCTCCTATGCTCTGTGATCAAAGACAGTCCAGCCCTACTGTTTCACAACCTGTCTTCAAATATGCTCCAAGTGTCTGCCACGGAGACACCCTCCATCTCTGTTTCACACTTTGTGTTAACCTCTGATTTTCCCCCAGAGTGAATTCATACATCTGATGATAAAAAAAGCATTTCATTATATTAGTAATTTATGACCCCACCAATTTCGCCTGCGTGACCTCCCTCCAAGTAATGGATTTGATTTGGAAAACACTCACTAAGGCTCATGCCATAGTGGAAACCATTTTTGGAGACAGCAATGCGTCGACTTTAAGTGCAGGGAGAGACTTGGCTTGATGTAATGCTTAGTTGAATTAATCCCAGTAATGATGCAACTATTAGTAAGAGCTGTGCTCGTCTTTAAGTAGCTGGAGACGTGTTTGTGTGAGTGTGTGTGTGTGTGTGTATATGTGTGTGTGTATCTATAACTCACTATCGGGAGGTAGTTTAGCTTCAGGAGTCCGAAGAGTTCTGCGGTTGTTGCTGTAGTAACCTTTAACCTCATGATACTGTAGTGTAACATACATTACAGTTGTCATGGTTACAGAGTCATGATGCATGGCATGTATTTACACAATTAAGAGAAGTGAACTCCCGCCAGATGTTTAGACCGAAAACTGAGATTTTTTTGGTTAAGATTGTTGGGAAAACTCTTAAATCAAGCATAATATGTAGATGTTTTGGTAGACAATATTATGTCGTGTTGAAATATTTAGTGCTGTAATAAATAGTTTGAAGATCCATTTTTACTTTTCTTAAGGGACATACGAATGCTACATGTGTATAGATACAGTGAGAGTGCAGTTAAAGATAACAATTTGACACTAATATAATTAGTATTAAAAAATCAGTTTGCTCTCATGCTTGCTGCACCGAGGTTGAAGAAGAAGAAAGTTGATGTAATTAAATGAGACTGACTTATTTAATCAGAAAATCGCAGACAATAAAGATTTTGTTTGAATTACTTTTTATTTCTAGGATGATGACATCTTAAAATATGATGATAGATATTCAGAGCTTTATTTAAAAATCTCAAAAGTGCAATTTGTAACTAGATGGACAAACATAAATTGTTAACAACAAAGTGTCCAAAAACTGTATTTCGGCATGTTTAGATTTCTGCTTTATTTTGAGCCAGCTCACTGATTTATTTTAGTTCTCCCTGCTGTTCCCTTTAGACAGAAACAATCTGCCTACACATTTGTTTGCATCCTCCTAGCAACAGGCAACTAATATTAGCCATTACATCTCCTAGTTTTGAATGCCACAGTGGATTGTGAGTGCTTGAAGCAACACAAAACACTCTGTTTTGCTTGAGCACCTGCTTGACAATGGCTATAGCTAGACATTTTCGTCTCTACTGGCACAGACTGCATCCGTTGTAGAGCACATTCTCCAATTGATTATTGCAAGTCTGGGACTAGGGACTGTGTATGCTTAAGGACAATTGTTGCCTCTAGCATTCACTGTAATTCTGTTGACAATGTTTGATTTCTTTCGGGCAATTTGCCTTAAGAAGCTCAAGAGACATTTGTGCCCAGAAGACATGTATTACTGATTGTCTGCACTCCTGGTTACATTACATAGGCTGTCTGCATTTTACTGAGTGAGGTATGCACATAGGAGCTTTACAAGGAAGTTATTGTGTCATTATTATATCCCTGCGATTATTGGGAACATATTGACCATCCAGTCTATTTAATTATTTTTCTTCCTAGGCTTTTAAATAATTGTATTGATTGTAGCTGTGAGAGAGCAAGACACATCATAGGTACTGAAGGAGAGACTTTAATCGGAAATGTACATCATGTAACTTAAAAATGTGCTTAGAAAAATATGAACTTACTGATGGTCTTAAGCTGGACCTTAACACAAAATAATTATTCATTTCTTCTCGCTCATGACTATTTCTGCTTTTCTTAATTTCCTTCTATCTATAGAGATGGTTTTCACTGTCGTGATGAAAAAATTATCTTTCAACGGCTGACTGAAACCTGACCTCTCTGCAGCTGGTTGATACTAGTTTTTGTTAGGTTTAGTTTACTGTGATACGTCTAGTTGAGCGTGGTTGACTAAAAATAAAGGGACACGCCACCACAGCAGTGTTCATTCAGCCCTATCAGACTATTGCCTTGTGCATGCACTGTGTATTTGTGTTGAATCCTTCCTGCATAATGCTTTTATTACACAAACACTCAAAGACAATCTCTTGACTTGAAGAAGGCTTTATTCGCAGTATAATATTACCTCCACAAGGCTTTTCCTGTTTTCTGCAGATGGTGATGATCATTACTAACCATTAAGGCATTGTGTCAATTGATGGCACCTGGACTCAAAACAAGGGCTTTGTTCTTGGTTTTTTGGAGCACATTGTCACCACTGTTGCTCGTGCTTCAGTTTTCAGTTTGGGAGACTGAGGCCCCATTTACACGGGAACGCAAACGAACCGAATTCGATATCAAAAAAGTCTTCCGTTCACACGGATACGGCTCAATAAACGTGTCCGTTCACACGAGACCGCTCGACCCGCTGGAGACGCTGTAGTACATATGCCGGGCCTGTAAGTGGCGTACTTCCGCCACAAAATACACCAAAAGCAGCGAAGAAGACCCCCCGAGCATGGTTGCCTGGTTGCCCTTCTGTTTATTCTCCATGGTGGATTTAGCAACATGTAGTTCATTTAGTTCTCCATGTCCACTTGTTGCTGATGGTTGTGGTAGAGGAGCTGTAGATTTTGCACTAACATCTGTAGCAGCAGAGGTGGGGAGAGGCGAGGCTATGGCTTCATCGTTATCAGGATAATGATCGTATAGGACATACATACGGAGCAGTTTGGCCCCCCAGAGCGTTCCGTCCGCAGATCTATCCACATTGGGACCCGTTATCGTTTTAGGGGTCCGTTTCCGCGGTTCCGTTACGGCCTCGTGTGAACGAGCGGGCTATACGAAAGAGAAAAGTAGCAGATACAACCCGTTTAGTTCCCGTGTAAACAGCACCTAAGAAGATCCAAAAAACTAAATTAGTCATAATAGCCAGGCCAAAATACTAGGTAAAAGTTATTAAAGTATGTTTCAGTCTCTTGTCAGCACTGGGTGTTACAGTCCCTCCAGAGAGTAGCGGCAACAGCTGCAATTTGCCAGGAGATTTGAGGCAATTTCACTGAATGTTTCTATTAAACTGAAGTGAAGAGGTACTTTCGCTGAATCTACAATTTGGGGGATACTGCGTATAGTTTTTTAAAGGACTCACTTTTAGGTAAGTGTTGTTGCATTTATAGCCTATTGATCTTGAACTTGGATGACTGAAAAAGCCTCAATTATTTTACATAACGACAATATTAATGCCATTTCACAAATCAATCCCTTTATATAAAAACTACAGAGCCGGCAATTGATAACTACAGTATGGTAAAGGTCAGACATTTCAAAACTGATAACAGTGTTTTGACATCATCACAGTACTGCTGAAAGTTGGCAAAAGATAATATTGAGTCATTGTCAAGTCCTAGCAGATAGGGCAGTGTCCAAGTTAGACTCATTACACATCCATCCATCACCTCGACCTTCCTGCTCTCAGTATTTTGTGCAGCTGCATTGCTGGTACACTTTCTTCTGCATTGGCACCAAACATTGTAAATCTAACATGTGCTGCAGAATTTCCAGGGAGGCTGGCTTGTTATTTTCTTTATAAATCTCTCACTCTGTGGCCATTTTGGTTTTATCATACATGTTTAATAGATGGTTGGAAACGTTGACAAAGTATTTTCTCCAACTATAATTGAAACTGTTCTTTTGTCTGCCCTCCACAGTTGAATCTGGTGGCCAACCTCACCTTGCTGGAGACGAGCACCATGGGAGCACGGGCATAATGAGGGAGAGGAGGGCAGCAGGTGACCCCTACTGGTCCTATTCAGGTGAGTCTCATTTGTGCGCTGAGCAGAGCCCTCAGTAGGAGGGGAAATGCATTTCTTTGACATGTTCACCTCTGCTGAATCTTGCCCATAATACTCCTATTTGTGTCTAGTATTTTTCTGGAAAACCCTAGTTTTATATGTATTTAATAATATACCTCAGTGTACGTTTTCTTTCATTATTACCTCTTAGCTAATGCACTGGAAAGAAAAGAAACTGCAAGATGCAAAGTGAGTTGATGTTGTAGCCAATTGCGATTATCCACAAATGGAGAGTTGTTTAAAATGTATTTATTTTTTATCTTGTGTGGATAAAGCAAACCGTTTTGTGGATGGAATTGCATGACGATCATTGAAATAGCATGTCATTTAATTAAAACCCTGCAATTAGTCGTGAACCTTTCTCTGATTCTAAATGAAATGGTAACAAGTACAAGAGTCAAACAGGAGGCATAGAAGACGATTATGACCTTTATGTCACATTTACTTACAGACCTTAATTTTGATTAAAATAAAGTTTATACCAAGCTGTTAAAGCCTAACTATAGCTCTTTTGAAACTCGACTCTAATATTAATAATAACTATTTAGGAGCAGCTGAATTATACGCTTAAGAAGGTGTTTTCAAAATCAATTTAGTCAAATGGTTGTGAAAACATTTTTGATGTGAGAAGCTTCATTTTGTATATTTTAAATGTACATAGCATTTTGTATATACAGAAATGATCTTAATAAACTGTTCAGTCTAACACTCTATTTGCTACCAACAATCAGTATTTTTCTATAAAATAGTTTTGTATCAACAATACTTAAAGGTTGTTTAGAAAAAAGCTCCTTCTGCATTACACATTCTTGTATCTTTTGTATAGTATGATGCTTTGTGCCAGGTATGTGTCGACATCCTGATGCAGTTTTTGACCGGGAACAGTTCTGACAAACATACATTAATGTTCTTTAAGAGCACTGCTTCACATTCAGCTATACACATTTAAACAGTGCAAACACAGCCCTCAGTTGGCCATTGAGCAGCTCCAGTGGGAAATAGGGGTTATGTGCTTTGATCGAGGGCAACTTGCTGGAAGAGCTCAGGAAGGGAGGAGCAGTCGGTAAAATTATATTTACAGGTTTCAAGGTCCAAAAACACCCACCAGCAAATAACTAACTTGGTCCCTCTGCTTGGAATGAATCACAGCTCTGGAAATTATTATACTGATGGAATATTTTGTCTTTGCTGTTCTCATGGTTTTAGGCAAGTAAATGCAAATACAAAAAGAGTGCAGAGAACGGTGAAATGTTTATGGTTTTAGTTTTTTTCCAAAGAGTACATACATTTTTTCATCATATTATTGGTCGGTGTTTTAACACTGCTATAGAACACTGTGATAAAAAAACCCATAGCTGTTTTACACTACAATATATCCTCATTGTACAAAATAACTTTTCTTTTGTGAAGATCTTTGACTTTAGTGAGCGATTGCTTAAAAATGACCAAATCTCCAGTGGGACTCTTTATTTTGTTCTGCTTTGCTTTTGAGACATCTGGCTTTATTCTTACTTCATTTGTTTTGCTCAGTGACATTCTAGGGCTGTTTGTATGATATTTGACAGAATGCTGTGTATAATTATGTAAATAGTCAGAGCTGCAGGCTGTTTTAACACCTACTAATATTTTCGAGCCCATTGGGAAAATATGAAGTTTAGTCTTCGTGCGCAGAGTTGTTTGAAGGAAGAGGGAAGCTGGTAATTTGGAGGCGATCAGATCTTTTAATGTTTAAGATTTGTATATCAGGCGGCTGGACAGAAATGAACATCGGGTTAGGGAATTGGCTGACTTGGGTTGATTTTGGACATTCATTTCAAGCTGTGCAGAGCACACATTCCTACCAGCGAAGGCAGCTGGCTGATTGTACTGAGAAAAGGGGAAGCATTGAGGGAACACAGAAATGTCCATTGCTTTGGAAAGGTAATTAGTGGCTAAGGCTGTGAATGGGGGGCAGACAAGCGTGCCTTAGCAGCTAAATGGTTATTAAGGGCATTTGCTTCGTGCAAGTGAGTGTAAAAGAAATGCACACAGTAGGGTCAGACTAAAGCTAGAGGGTACTGGTGCAAGACTGGCAAAAGCTGTATGAGCTAGACACATATAGAGTACATAACATACAGCTTATAAACCATTGTTTCAGCCAGACTCCACGCCCTTCTCTGTGTATCCTACAGTCTACTAACTTCTGGTGGGGAGAGCTTTTGAAGAATGTGGAACAATATTAGCGTCAGAAACTGGTGCAGTAGCAGATACAATATAGAAGGTCCACCAATTTAGAACATTTCTTGATCCTTATTTGTTGTTATTAGATTTAAAGGTTTAACTGTGCACCCACTTACAATGATTGCTAAGTTTACATAATGCTTTAAATGTTTGTTGATATATGACATAATGGTTTGGAGTTTTTACATGATGTAATGATATACTTATGTCCGAATCAGTATATAAGTACATTCCATAGTTTTCATGGGGAGAGAGGTTGCCCTTGTATTTTGCACATTAGTCCGGAGCATTGAGGAATTGGGCCAAATGCAATGGGAGCTCTCATCATTTCATGACATGTCACTATCCTGTTTGCTTTGGTATGAACCGTATTGTAAGTAGCCTCGAAACCTACACCCTGAAATTTGATTAAAAGTTATTTAAGGCATGGTGTGTGTGCGTGTGTCGGTGCGCGTATAGAGGCATTTTTCACAAGAGGGATGATATCATGCTAACCGTTAGACTCCCACAGGAACAGGGCTATGCATCATTTTCCCCCTTTTTATATCTCTGCAGGTTTTCTCATCTTCTCTGTTGGTTCCTCAGGCTTCCTTTAGAGGTTGTTTTATATTTCTGGCCAATATAAGCAGTAGGTTGCTTTTGATTGCACTCTTGTTGATTTATTGTTCTCGTTTAATTACAGCACAACAGTTGGAGTACCTTAATGTGCTTTTGCAGAAGCATTATGCTTGATCCCCTCTGTGTGTAGATTGAAAAAGAGAAAAAAAGGACGAATAAAAGGAAGCACAAAAATAATGGCATAAGATGTATAAAAATATTGATTAGTACTCTGGAGATAATCTACACTTGATTTTAGTTTTCGCTGCATTATGAGATTTCCTTAAGTCCCTGAATTAACTTGCATGTCCTTCCAGACAGAGATGAAGCAATTAGTCCTTCTGAAAGATTGATGTTCTTGCGGTGCTCACTGCGAGAACTAATGATTTGTTAGAAAAATGCCAACTGTGTGTAATAGGGGAAATTAAAAATGCAGTAAAGAGCATGGTATTCTACATCCACAAATGAATAATCTAGCAATTAAAAGCTCTACACCTCCAGTGATTTTTCACATTAATAAATCCGAGCTCTGTGCTTTGTATTGATAGCGCTCCTCCTGCAGCAGTCATGGCTGTTTGGATGGAAGCCATCCTGACAAGCTGTTGTAGCCGCTGAAAGAGCCTGCGATTGTCTGATACGTGTGGATTATATTTCCCCTCAGCCTGACTGTTTTATTCCACTTCACTGAGGTTTCCCGTGATCATTACCAATCTTTCCACTCATGTCTCACATAATGAAGTGAATGAAGTGTCATTTTCAATCAATTGCTATGTTGATCCAACTTAATTAGTACGTTAGAGGATACATAACAAGATTAGGTAACTCACTGTTCTTGATTGTCAGGGCTGTTTGTTTTGGCTTTGAATTAACCTTCTATTCTACTGCGGCACCCTCTTTCTGTGGCTTCACATTATGCTCTTTCTATTTTTGGTAAAAAGACTAGCTAAAATTGATTTGTTGATTTAGTTGACAATTCATCCTATTAATATACACTTTAAAGAGCCTCAGTTGTTTAGACCAAGTTTTAAGGTTGATTTCAAAATGTGACTTTGATTAGTTTGTTTTAGCATGGTAAACCTTACATGTCGTAGAAGGTTTAAATTGGCTCGGTGCCTTTTGAAGGCAGTGCACTTTGTCTCTTGCGACTTGACACCCCCCTTACAAAGACTAGAGGGAAAAGAGCAATGCCATGTTGTCATGGTGCCCGACAGAAGGAGCTCAGCCTCCTGGAGGTATAATGAATCGTGAGGAGGATTGCTCCCGGTAGACCTACATGTTTGAGAAGCACTTGACTTTAAAGCAAAGCTCCCTGACTATAAGGCTGTGCAGGGGGTATGCACGCAGGCTAAAGTATGGGGCATATTATACACGGATACAGAGACGTGCTCATCAGGGATGAAGATACAAATGCCAGCCCTAACAACTGTTTCCCTGCGAGTTTTTCTGATGGGAAAGAAAAGTGATAGCTCCAAAGATCTTAACATGCTCCTATTAATGAAATCAGATTTTTTTTTTTAAGTAATTATGTTTGCTCGCGATTGTTCGGAGACAATCACATAATGACTATTAAAGCTATTGTGATAAATCATGATAAACCATTTTTGTTTTCAAAATGAACACAAAGCAATTGTTCACTCAGATTTCGTCCAGAATGAGATTCTTGAATGGCAGCTGAAAATCACAGTTCAATTACATTTCCAATTATCATGCAGACCATTGACATCAGCAGGAACTAGACCATATGCCCTGCAATTTTCCAAAGTGGCAGTAAGAAATATCAATCTCAGAAGGGGGTCTTTTTTCCAGCAGTTTTGCATTACCATGTGCAAAACGTATACATATGACGCTTCTTAGGCGAACATTTGCTATCACTCATCATTGTGCACACCAACCACAATCCTTTCACATTAAATGTCAATCTTTTCAAACCTTGCATTGATTCTTGCTTCCCTAACTGATGCACCAAGCCTGTAAAGCTTTGGCCCTACCCCCCCAACCTCATTCTGCGAAAAATGTAGTCAAGCCTTTGAAGCAATAGATTTTCTTTTTTCTTTTCAATCACACAGACAGATTGCTGTTTTTCTGATGTGCTATTTTTAATGACAGATGTTTGGCAGCTGAAATAATGTTTGGAATGGTTGAGC